GTTTCGTTGGACATGTCTTAATATGCTACGAGATAACACGTAATGGTACGATCGAAATGATATGACATGTCCGATGTCATCTGATGGAGCTGGTGGCGATAATGATGTCTGCTGATGCTGATGCTGATGCTGCTAATGATGATGATGATGATGATGATGCTGCTTATGCTGTTGCTGATGTTGCTGATGCTGCTATGATGATGATGATGATGATGATGATGATGCTGTTGATGATGTTGATGATGATGATGACGATGCTGATGATTCTGATGATGTTGTCGTTGTTGATGCCGATGATGATGATGTAGGTGATGATGATAATGACGATGATGATGACGACGATGATGCTGATGACGATGATGATGATGATGCTGATGATGATGACGGTGATGATGATGATAATGCTGATGATGCTGATGCTGATGATGATTATGATGCTGATGCTGCTGCTGATGATGATGATGCTTATGCTGCTGCTGATGATGATTTTGAGGATTATGTTTCCGACGATGCTTACGCGACTGATGATGCTGATTATGATGATCATGCTGATGCTGCTGTTGATGATGATGATGTTGATGATGTGTTTGATGATTTTGCCGCTTCTGATCATCACGATGATGATAATGCTGCTGCTGATGATGATTATGATGATGCTGCTGTTGATGATGATGCTGTTGGTGATGATGATGATGATGATGATGATGATGCTGATGCTGATGCTCATGATGATGATGATGATGATGATGATGATGATGATGATGATGATGATGATGATGATGATGATGATGATGATGATGATGATGATGATGATGATGATGATGATGATGATGATGATGATGATGATGATGATGATGATGATGATGATGATGATGATGATGATGATGATGATGATGATGATGATGATGATGATGATGATGATGCTGCTGCTGATGATGATGATGATGATGATGATGATGATTATTATTGATGGGCGTGATGGCGATAATACTGATGTTGATGATGAGGAGGAGGATGAGGAGGAGGATCAGAAAGAAAAAGGAGGGTGGAGGGAGGAGGTGGGAGGGACATTTCCAGTGGCAGGCAGGAGGGAGGGCTTTGCATGCCTTTCTCGCTTACAGCTCGAAGTGCATGAGCACCACCATCGTTCCCACCCTCGTTCACAGCACGTCCGTCTCCCGCAGTCCTCGATTTTCGAACATCGAAGTGCTTGGTAATTTTTGTTCTGTCTTCGGCCTCCGTAGGCCTCGAGGCCTGGGGAGGCCTCCAGAGGCTGTGGGAACAAAACCCCCCACGGCCCCGGGCAGAGATTGTCGGGCAGGGCCTCGAGGCCGCCGGTCCTCCGACGTCTTGTCCTTCAGCGCTGACTTTTCTAGACGTTTTTGGCCTCTGGAGTACACCCTCGGCGATGCTTAAGAAAACTTAAGTTTTCAGCCAGAGTCTCGATTATTCTTAATGTTTCAATGTAAATCCTAAGATTTGAATGGAATTTTTGGGTTTTTATTCAAGTTCTGAGACTATGAATTTCTTAACCCATGATTTCTTAAGCATTTCGTAGGGTGTAGACGGTTTTGGCCTCTGGAGTAATCTTGGTGGTCCCCAAACGTGGTGGTGAGAACACCCGGTGGTGAGTTTTGGGCGATTTGGGTAATGGTTTTCGAGCGCTGGCTGGCCCAGGAAGCGCAAAACCTCGTGGCGACCGCGTGTCCCCAAACCCGGCGGTGACCGAGAAGTATTTTTTGGGGGACTCGGGGTCACCACCGGGTGTCTCACCACCTGGTCTGGAGACCACCAATAATCTCTTGGGCTCCAATGCCATTAGAGATCGGCACAGCGTGAGAAGCCAGTCCCGTGGATGGGTCGATTGTGCAGTGGACGCCGCACGTGAAACAAGTCACGATGTCGGACGTCTCGGCGCCGAGGTCTGCTGGGCCCTCGAGGCTCGAGGGTCTCGCGCTTGCCTCGCTCAGGCCTCCAGGAGTCTCTGGAGGCCTCCGGAGGCCTCCCGAGGCCTCCGGAGGCATCGGGGCACTTCTGGAGGCCTGCCTCCACTTGGTTGCAACCCTTGGGAGGTTATGTTCAGCATCGGCACTGGTGTATCCTTGGTCGGAAACCGCTGCAGTCTGGTCCAATCCAGCTCCGGCTGAATCCCAGGCCTACCCCTTCTGAATCTGGCCGAGTGGCCCGATGACCTGCCAGGAGTTGCCTCCCAACCTCCAGAGGCCTCCGACGTCTCGAGTGCTCAAAGAGTTCCGCTCCCAGTGGCGTCGGAGTTCGCGCGCTCGGACACCGAGGGGAGGCTGCGCGGGGACAAGGCACGGGAGGCCATGCGCAGCGACCTGAGGAGACGTGCCGCGGCCCTTGCCGCCTTTCTCACTCACAGTTTTTTTGGTGTGTGTAGTTTTTGTTTGTTTGTTGTTGCGTGCGTGTTGTTGTTTGTTTTTTATGTGTATCTATTTATGTATCCACACAAATGTTTGAGCACCCTACATGTATGTATGTCTGTCTGTCTGTCTGTCTGTCTGTCTGTCTGTCTGTCTGTCTGTCTGTCTGTATGTATGTATGTATGTATGTATGTATATATATGTACGTACGTACGTACGTACGTATGTACGTACGTATACGTATACGTATACGTATACGTATACGTATACATATACGTATGTATGTATGTATGTATGTATGTATGTATGAATGTATGTATGTATGTATGTATGTATGTATGTATGTATGTATATACATACATATATATGCATGTCTCTCTCTGTCTCTCTCATTCTGTCTCTCTTCCTCTCTCGTTATATTTTTTGTTTCTCTCTCTCTCTCCTCCCCTGTTTGTTACTCTTCCTCTCTCTCATCCTTCCTCCCTCTACTCTTTTTCTAGATTCTCTCATCTCTGTCTATTTTGTACTTTTGCTCCTCTCTCTCGCGAGGAGGGGGCGGTGACCATATCGTAAGTATTCGCAAACAATCGCCAGACGGACACAGCCCAAACTTTATTGGCGAGTTCTGCGATCACCCAGACAGAGACCCCACACAAAGCACCGACTTCATCCATCCTCGGACTCGTGACAACGGCCCACAGGGCCATGCAAAAAGCCACTGGAAAGCGGAGACCCTCCAATGCAACAGCACTCACGCCAGAAGCAGCATCTTCGACACAGCCAAACGAAGACGACGAGACACCACCGACTGGTATTCAGCCCCAGCAGGAGCCGACGGACACCAGACGAGGGAGAAGACGGCATCAGATAACCCGCATGTGTCCCCGGCTAATCGGATGCGTACTTGAGCACTTGCTCCATTCCAGTGTTCTGGTCACACAAGACCAGCAAAGTCAGGAGTATGTCGATATCGCCAGGGCAATTCGACAAGCATGGACACTTGAGCAAAACGGAGAGGAATACCAGGTAGGCATGGATGTTCGCACCGATTATCGACACATGTGTGCAGCCACAGGTCGAAGGGAGATTCTGGACTCACTGCAGTCGCCTCGACGTGAATCACCAGAGCCAGGACACCCCACAGGCGCGCCAGCATGGCATCGGAGACTATCACCACGAGCAGACATACGACAAGATCGACACCCAGGCGCGACATCAGGCGCCAAGCTCACCAGCCGAGCTCCCTCCTGGCCTCCTCCACCCTCCTCTGACCACGTCCGTGGGCAAGCGAATCACAGAAACCATGAACGAGCCGGCGCTGGAGCCGCAGACAATCAATGGCGAGAATGGGCGAAGATACCATCTGGCATGAGGCCAAGCTCCCCCTACCAGTATTTTGACCCTTTGACGCTCATGATCTTCCACTTCAGTCTGTAAGCGTTGCGGGCCTTCCGGACACTAGCTTTTGACTGGCAACGTTGTCGTCCTTTGCTTCCTCCACCGCTGGCCGTGCAAGATGCACGGGGGCCTCTTCGTAGCCAGCGTTTCCCCTCTGACGACGATGAGGCGCTTCAGCCACAACGCGTTCGCGAGCTTGCGTCTTATTGGGTATCGCAACCTCCTTCAACTCAGAGATCTCAGACATGCCGACCAAGAGCTACGATTCGTTTTGGCACCTGCAACGTAGAAGGCCTCGGGCAATTCGATGAGCAAATTCGTTGAGCTCTTCAAGATCATGCGAATGATGAATGTCGACATTCGTTAACTCCATGGGATGGGACAGAATGCACCAATAACGATGAAGGTTTCTTGCTTTGTTTTCCTGGTGTTGTTGATGGACAAATCGTTCGTTTGCTGGGGTTGGCTTTGCATTGGCGCGATGGGCTTACAGTACAACAGTCGCTTTTTAAGCTTCGGCGACAAGGCTGGCTTCCCCAAGGATTGAACTTGTTGGTGGGATGCTTACTTTGGTCACCCCTATCGCTCCGCACAGCGGCCGCGCATAAACCAAGAGGCGCGATTTCTTAGCTGACCTGGGTAAGCACATCGGGGCAACAACGCCACATAGCGCGACTGGTAATTGGGTGATTTTGATGCTAAGTTGCTGCGCCGATCTGAAGGAGTATAATGGTTTTCATAACACATGTGTTTTTGGAAGGCATGCGAAACGCGGTGCAGGGCAGGTGGGGGACCTCCAACTGTCAAAAAAGAATTGCTTTGCCAACGATGTGGCGGTTGCAAATGCATTCTTCGAAGTGCCAAGTGGTGAACGCGTCGCGTACGGAGACCTGGGCGTGGCTCCAACGGGCCCCGTCTGCCCAGAGTTCACGCAAATCGATCGTGCCCTAGGCGTTTCTTCTGTTCTGTTCTGCCGTGGTTTTCGGATTGCAGGTTTCGCGGGGCGCGGCATTGAACTTCCGCAATTTCTTGACCTGGTTGGATCTTGCGTTTGAGCGTCAAGTGGTTCCTCGCCAACCTCGCTTTGTCTTGTCTTCGCTGGAGGACCTATCTATTCGCAGAAACTGTATTTCGCAATTGACCGAAGCATGGAATGCACAATCTTGTGGGGCAGCGGTGCTGGGCGACGTGGCCGAGTCGCTGGAAAAGTGTTCCCCGCGGCGTTTCCGACGTGGAGATTAGCGCTGGCCTAATCTCAAAAGCAATGGATGTCACAAGCAACTTTGGATTCAATCGAAAAGCGCTGTAATTTCAGGAAAACGAGCATTGCGATTGAGGGGAAAACCTTCGGCGAAGCAATCCGGCACTCTGCTCCTTGCAGTCGGACAAATTGGATCAATTCCGAGCGGGCGGGTGGGGGGTGGGGCGCAGTGAATTTCTCGCGAAAGAAATGCAGACAACGGCACGCTGGAGATAAAGATCCCCTTTGGGAGTTTTCTGACGCAGCAGGCCGTTCAGATGTTTCGGCAGAATACTTCGAACTCGAGCAACGGCAAGTGCGTTTTCTGGACCTGGTCCCTGGAGCAACGGTGCCTTTGGGAGATGCTCTGCCAACCGACGCGCTGAATTTCGCTCTGCTGGAGTTGCGTGCGGCAGTGATGAACATGAGGAACTGCGAGGCAGCTGGCCCATGCGATGCGGCGCGCTGATGAAAGTATGCCAAGCATGTTCGGAGACGACAGCCATCCCTCCGAAATGGAGGAGGGCCGACGTCATTCTCTTATCTGTATGGGGGATTACAAGTATTCCTTGCAATTGCATGCCGATCTCCCTATAGGCGGCGGAGCATGAAGCCTTGGCATCAACGATCCACCGACGGCTTTGACAAGGAGGGTCAGAGTGGAGGATGCGAGCCTCTCGGTTTGGTTTTCGCCCCCTGCGCGGAAGAGCAGACGCACCTATGACGGTCGTGCGAAGGGTGGGCTCTGCGCGCGCCGACGATGTCGAGGGGCTTTTCCTGTCGATGCTTGATTGGGCAGAAGCATCCGATCGGCTCGAGCCGACTTGCGCGTGCCATTCGTAGGATTTGTTATTGTTGGTTGTCGGGTTTCTTTTTTTGTTGTTTCAGTGCATGCATGTGCTATATTGCGCTGGCCTTACGGCCTGTGCCGCCGACCCTGGAGGCATCGGCTCTCGAGGGAAACGGGGGGTAGAGGGCGGGGAGGAGGAGGAGACGGAGGAGCGAAGGAGGAGGAACAGGTGGGAGGAGGAGCAAGAGGAGCATGAAGATGCGGAGGAGGAATGGAAAAGGTAGAGAAGGGGGAGCAGGAGTTCATGGATGGAGCAGGCAGGGACGACGAACACGTGGGGGGGGGACCAGTGAAAGCTGTCAGAGAGGGGTGAAGAAACAGGCACGGATGATGCGGGGGGAGGTTTTCGGGGGCAGCTCTCGTTTCAAGGGACTACAACACTGGGGGCAGACAGTTCATGACATTTGTGAGTGGCGTGTTAAATTCTGTCCTCGTGTTGTTGTCGTCGTCCGCGTCGTCGGCGCAAGGACCCCGAGGACAGAATATAACACGAGAGTGGCGTGTTAAATTCTGTCCTCCTGTCGTCGTCGTCGTCCGTCGCCCTCGTCGTCGTCGTCGTCGTCGTCGCACCCGTCGTCGCGACGACGACGCGTCGTCCTTGTCGTTGTCGTCGGCACAAGGACCCGAAGGACAGAATTTAACACGAGAGTGGCGTGTTGATTTCGTTTCGTCGTCCGTGGTCGTCGTCGTCGTCGTCGTCGTCGTCGTCGTCGTCGACGTCGCACGCTTCGTCGTCGCCCTCGTCGTAATCGTCGTCGTCGTCGGCACAAGGACCAGAAGGACAGAATTTAACACGAGAGTGGCGTGCTAAATTCTGTCCTCGAGTCGTCGTTGTCGTCGTCGTCGTCGTCGTCGACGTCGACGTCGTGGACGTCGCGCTCGTCGTCGTCGTCGTCGTCGTCGCCCTTGTCGTCGCGTCGGCACTAGGGCCCCAAGGACAGAACTTCACACGAGAGTGGCGTTTTAAATTCTGTACTCGTGTCGGCGTCGTCGTCGTCGTCGTCGACGTCGCGCGCGTCGTCGTCGTCGTCCTCGTCGTCGTCGTCGTCGTCGGCGGAAAGACCCGAAGGGCAGAATTTAACGCCAGGGTGGCGTGTTAATTTGAGATGCCTCTGTCCCTCGCTACCCCCCTCGCTACCCCGCCTTGCCACCCCCATCCCGGGGCCCCCCCTGCCCTCGCGCGGGGAAGGGGAGAAAGGGAAGGGGCTTGCCTTTTGATTCAGAGGCGACATTGCGAATCCAGGAGGGCGATGTATCTGACCGAGAAGCCCCAGGAGGGCGGCGTATCTGACCCAGTGCCCCCCTCGCTAACCCCCCTCGCTACCCCCCCTCGCTACCCCTCCGGCCCCCCCCCCCGCGCGGGGAAGGAAAGAAAGGGAAGGGTGTTCCCTCTGACCGAGGATCCCCAGGAGGGCGGCGTATCTGACCCAGGACCTCCCTTTCTAACCCACCTCGCTACCCCCCCTCGCTACCCCTC